GATAGCATGGTGTACAAACAGCCCAAAGTCAATGTGCAGTGCTACCTTCAAGACCTTCTCTCAGCAAGTACACCCAAATTTGTTCTAAGGGAGTTTAAATAATTTTAATCTAAGAAGTATAAGAGAAATAAAAATCTAACCATGGGCATGAGACTTTTTGCAGACAACTGAGATTTATGAGAAATTGCCTTTTATTTGTGTCATTTAGTATCTACCTATTCACTGATTTATTCACTCATTATTTCACTCAACAATCACTTGTAACACCTACTAAGTTAAGGTTGTAACTATAAACAGATACCATGAATTTGGGTAAAGGAAATAAGGATGATTGAGTGGTAGCTTGAAGAGGACGTCTCTTTCAGGCTTGAGGGACAGGGTGGTGGCATGTATACATTATTGTGGACATGACAGAACTAATGTAACCAGCCTAGTGCCTCACATTTTCTTTCCGTTAGGGCAAAAGTTTTATACTCAGTGTGTGTGTCATGTTTGGTGACAGGAGCACCATAAAGACTGCTTAGTAGGGGACTGGAATCACACAGACCCATGTTAATGAATGACTTGAAGCTGACACATCAGTCATTTCCACCTGGACCATAATGATGAGGATTGGAGTGACTCATAGGCACAAAGTGCTTGGTAGGTCTCTGGTACACAGTGGTTATCTGTAAAGCTACCATGTAGCCATATGTAGGCAGAATACATGATGGAACATATCTTTCCCTCATGTTACCCCCAAAACAAAACAGCATTAATATATAAGGTTTCTGGTTAAAGGCCATTACAAGACTTGTAGGACCAAAAAAAGAAAAACTTAGATCTGACACTCAAAGTGAATTATAAAAGTAAAGAGACTAAATTTCCAAGCATAAAAAATATGAAGCAGGATTGAAATTCCAAGACTGGATTTAATAAGGAAAAACACAAACATACTTGACTCTTTTCACAGAGCAGCCAGCATGAAGTGACTGAGAAACCATGAAAATAATTTGCCTGTTTGGAATAGTCAGAGTCAGCTGGCAACCACTCACAAGAGCCCTCTCAAGTCTGTCATTCTCCCAGGGTATAAAGGGAAAAAGAATAATATCCACAAAATTACATCCAAATGGGGATAGAAGAAGCTACTAGAGGGAAAAAATTGGACATGAAGAGCAATATAATTTTACATTTCTTTAGCTTCTTAGAAACTATGCAAAGTCCAGGCATCGCTAGTGTTTAGTTGGAATTTAATCCCCAGCTCTTTGTTCTAGATTTTTATGTTTTTCTTTTACTCACAAATAGATGACACTTTAGCACTAATCCAGAAGTTGCATGTACTCTGCTATAAATAACTAACTAGAAATTTTAAGATTCAGGACGATATGCATCTTTGAGGTTTTCTGCTTAACCAAACTTAATTTAAAATTATTTATTTTAGGAAGGAATTTAACAAAAGCCATTTTAAGTAATCAGTTTCCAATCCACATCAGCATCCCTGAAGTTATAACCAAACACCTAGAGCTTTTGGGTCAAGATCTCTGGACTCAGACCTGGAAAAGCAGGTACTAATCCAAGCTCCAAATGCTCTGCCCACCCCCACTCACCCACCATCCAATGCCTGTCCTCAGGTCACCACAGAAATATGACCTGAGGCCTCAAGGCCGTTTCTCTGTCCTTTAGTTTCTTTATCTGGACAATCAGGGTGGTGGATTAAATACATGAGTTTCAAGCTTCACTCTGTTAGGCAGAAACACAGGCATGAGAGGGGTGGAGGATAAAGCTGGTAAAGCCCACTAAAAGGGACTCCAAGAGTTACTCAGATAAAACCAGAGAGCCAGTAAGGACTCACGGAGTTAATGAGTTAAGGTTTCAAAAACCAAGAGCAACTTGAAATGTCTGGATATTCCCCAGAAAAGAGGAGAACAATCAAGGGACTTCTCGGCCCTACCTGATGAAGTATGGCAGGGAAATAGGACAAGGGTCATGTCATTGTAAAATCTACTTAGCCTGCAAAAAAGGCCCAGCTTGTTCTGGAAGTTAACCTATATGCTGTTTTTTCCTCTTCCTCCAGCCCTTAATCAAGTAACTTTGTAACCAGGGCAGGAAACAGACCTTGGACGTGTAAATACACCCATATGGGCAAAGAATGCTGAAGTCCAAACAAACACAGTCCCCTAATAACTCTGTTCTTAAGAGAAAACTCCAAAGGAATTATAAATCACCTGTATACATCAGGCCTTATGCCGACCCTTATCGCAAAAGGCCCTGTAAGACCCCAGACCCTAAACCCTTAAGCGAGCCTCCTGTCTGAGGTTGCCTGCACTCCCCTTTCTTTGAGTGTGTCACTCTCTCTGTTCTATTCCAGGTAAGTAGGGAGGGGCTGGTGAGAGCTCTGATTTGGGCTTTTAAGTTCCCATCGCCTGGATGACTCAGACAGGACAGCAGCCGTATGATTGTGCTCTCTAGTAGCCTGCCTGAAAATCTCCTTTCTTTGCCTCTGGAAAGTTCTCAGAACATAACCTCACTCCATCCAGTGCTCTGCAGCTCCCCCAAAACCCAGAGTGGTAGGGATTTAGTTCCCACACTGTGCAGATCCAAGTGGACAGTGGACACCAGGTGACCCTGGCTTTGGGAGTTGGCAAGGGATTTACCTGATGCCGAGCAGGAGTTCAATGAGCTTCCCCTTCCTCTCTGCTTTATTCAAGTAAACCTGCCTTTATCTACCTTGACTCTGGCCTGCTCCTCCCTTGGAGTGAATTCAAATAAAACTTTCACTCTGCTTCACTACTGTTTCTCTGTCCTTTTGTTCTTTGTTGTGGTGGAGAGAAGAATCGAGAAGAACAAACTCAACCGTGAGCAACTCCACTGAACCCTCATTGTTCCACAGAAATTGGAGACTTCACTAGAGAAGAGAAGGGGGTAAAGGGGAATTCTGTCGGTGAGACTCAGGCATTGTTTCCCACTTCCATCAGAGCACGTCTGCTTTCATCTGGTTTTCCAAGAGGAATTTTGTTTAAAGGATATAGTTGTTTACAAAAGTTTGAAAACTTTTAGACTGTAGGATATGTAGACTCTTCCCCACATGAACATTTTAAGAGACTCTTACGGGGTGACATCTCCTGTAATCTCTTGTCCAATCCCAGATCGTCACAATGCCGTTCTCTTGAGTGGAACCCCTTGATCCTTGTTTCACAGGCCCCAGTGGAGCTGGGTCAACCTCTTGGTTGCTGACCAGATTCTCTAATAGGGTACATCTGCCAGCTGTTGGCTTTGTAAACAGTCTGTGTTCAACCTCTAATATAAAGAGCCCCTTTCAGTATTTTCCTTTTCTGTGCTACAGTCACTTCAATCACTGGTGTTCAGTCTCCACCCTCCCTCCATCTGGTGCCCAAGAGAAGGAAAGGATTTTATCCTCATGAGATCTTCTTCCAATTCTTCTTCCTGTCTTGAATTCAACACTTAGATGAAGAATTTGTGGTTAAATGATTAGAGGGGAAATAAGCTCTTTCACATCAACCCAACTTATATTGAAGCAATATTTATGCAGAAGATGTTGTCCTTAGCATAGAAAGGAGAACAGAAATCGGTAAGGTGAGAAGAGTCCTCAGAAAGCAAACGTGGCACAGTGGGAAAGGTGGAAGATACCATCAGGTGCTGCAGTGCTGGAGAATGCAGGCAAGTGTTTCTCAACTTTGTGCCACATTTAAACATTTTCAAAGGATAGTGGGGCATGAACAGAGGAAGCTGCAGATTTAGAGTAGCTTTTCTCACCAAGAGTGGAATGGATGCTATTGGAGGTCCCCAGACACTTTAATATGGAACATGAATACATGAATGTATATTTCTCATTATGTAACCATGTATTTGTTTTTATGTGCATACAAAAAATCCATTAAACTGATTTTTACAGATAAGCTAAATGAGGCAAAACTTTTAAAGTAAATTCAAAGAAAAATACATATATAATAGTAATATTAGCCCTGAGATTTTGCAAAAAATCATGATGGAGGGAGGAGGATTAATGGTCAGGAAATAGGGATAGACCAGCTCTAGACTCTCATGCCCCAGAACTTTCTGGTAAAACTAATCTGAGCAACTTTGTACCGAATTCTGTTAAAGCAATCTGAAGGTGTCCCATAAGATGTCTGTCTACTAATTAGCCCCCTCCCATAGTAATTAGTGCATAGCAGATACTAAATAAGACCTTTTGAAAGGGGGAAATGCATAAATACATAAATGAATGTATACAAGAAAGACAAAATAATTACTGCCTAGACCCAATGAACAAAGATGTGCTGACACTGAAGGGAGCAAGGACAATGAAAAATAAAACCCCAGACTCACACATGTTCTTTTTCCAGCCCCTGTCTCACCTGGCACATTTTGACAGGTTTCAGAGAAGAATCCTATGTGTCTCAGGATGCTGATGAGCCATAGGGAGTTATCTCATACCCAACCTTTGGACTTCTCAGCCAAGGTTCTCAAGTTTTAGGCCTGAATGAAGATTAAGATAAATGGTGGTGCTATGGGAAAATGCACCAGGCAGCTTAGCAAGGGCAGAAGGGAACCCCACCAAACTCTAGCAGTACAGGTGTTGTATGTGGTGTCAGCAGTTCTACCCTTTGCCCTGGGAGCAAGGTGCATGTACAACCCAGAGCTCTTCACTACCAGGGTAATCAAGGAGCAAAGCCTATTTCAAAGCAGTCATGAAGCACTCTGTGATCCATGTGCACAAGGCTTTTCTCAAATAGGATGCCATAAACTGGAGAAAACAACTGTTTATACCATGGAGTGTGTCTCCACACACATCCTGTTTGATATTAATCATAAGATTACACCACCAAGCAGAAATGAATAATCTGCTTGGAGTCACCATTTCTAATAATTGCTCAGGCTATTCATTGCTAATCAAGAGGATGTTATGAAATGTGAGTCAGACAGCCTTTGGTTTTCAGGAAGCACAGGACTGTATATATAAGGAGGGTGCTTCCTAGTCAAGATACTGGAGCAGAGGAGGGTGAGAAGTCATCCAATTCCTTTAGCTGAGAAGGAAAACAGAAGCCAGGATGCTCAGCCTTCCTATGATGCTGCTTCTCTGGGCTGTGGGGTCTCACAGCTTCCCAGCAGCAATTTCAGAAACCCAAGAGCAAGATGAGGAGATGGTCCAGGTAAATACTGAATTTCACCTGCCAGAATTGTGAAGTCTGTATTTTCACTTCCCCGCAGTATAATGGAGTAGTAGTAGAATAACGGAGTTTATTTAAGGGAAATTTTCTAGAAAGAGAAATTTTTGTCAGAAAGGATCCTTTCTCAAAAAAATGTATCAGGCCATGCATACACTCCTTTGACAGGGAACCAAGAAGACAATATGCAAATCTGGTTTTACAAATTGCTGTTGTGACTTGACGGTAACTAATGGTAGGGAGGTTTCTACTCCAAAATTACAGTTTCCACCAATAGTAAGAATAATAAGGACTGTAAAATCTAAGCACAATCCTTAAAAGTAGTTCTCAGTTTCAGCTAAAGCTTCACATGGACAATCTTCACAAAAAGGAGAATTCCATCCAGTGTCTCAATAACTTTATCTATCACCAGAAATACCTAGAAAACTACTACAACCTGAAGAGCGATGGGAAGCAAATTGAAAGGCGGAGAAACAGTGGCCCACTGGTTGAAAAGCTGAAGCAAATGCAGGAATTCTTTGGATTGGAGGTGACTGGGAAGCCAGATGCTGAAACTCTAAATAAGATGAAGGAGCCCAGATGTGGGGTGCCTGATGTGGCTCTGTTTGTCCTCACTCCAGGGAACCCTCAATGGAAGGACACAAACCTGACCTACAGGTAACTAGACTGAACATCCTAGTTAATGAGAATGCTATTTCCCATCAGTGCTGTAAGAAATGAGGTTCGATGTGTCCATGTTTTATTTCATTTTAAGGATTGAAAATTACACACCAGATCTGCCAAGAGCAGATGTGGACCACGCCATTGAGAACGCCTTTCAACTGTGGAGTAATGTCTCACCCCTTACCTTTACCAAAGTCTTTAAGGGTCAAGCAGACATAATGATATCCTTTGTCAGGGGAGGTAAGTTCTTATGGCCTGAATGTATTCTTACTTTAAGTTCACCTTGCTTCTGTATCTCTTCAGCTTTGCAGCTAGATTTCCTTGTTTAAGAGGTTTTAATCTTATGGGCTTAAAGAGGGAAACTATATCCTATTTGATGGAATTATGCTGCCTCTTAGTGAAGCCAGCACTTTCCCTCTTGCACTAGCCTTAATTAGATACAAGGAGTACATCTGTTGATTCTGTTTCTTGCAGATCACCATGATAATTCTCCCTTTGATGGACCTGGAGGAAATCTTGCTCATGCTTTTCAGCCAGGCCCTGGTATTGGAGGGGATGCTCATTTCGATGAAGATGAAAGGTGGACCAACAATTACCTAGGTCAGTCAACTAATGTTGCCTCTCTCAATTCCCCGACCTCTCCTTGTTTCATGGTAATATTGGCTGATTTAACTGAAGCAATGCATTAATAGACGTATGGATTTTTATGCTACCACTTAGAACCTTAAAGAAATATTTAGAAAAGTGTAAAAGATGGATATTTCTGTTAGTAACATCATCTTATTGGCTACTCTAATGTCTCTACTAAGAAATGCTGAAAGTTCTAATGTTTTGTGGCTATCTACAGAGAATATTTTTCCTAGAAGGACACACCAAAATTTAAGTGTTAGGAGGATTATGTGGAAATTAAGTGAGGATAGGCTCTATGTGTTTTCCAAATTTCCAATATTAGGTTTGTATTAGTTTGTAGATAGGAAAAAACATTGTGTTGATAGAATCCTACTGCTTCTCTCTGAAATAATATGCACCACCTAACCATTGACAAGACTGACCAATCTTTGATAAACTCTGAGTTTGCTTTTTAATTGTACCAGTGTATTCATGGTTTAGGCTTTAGCCTATCTCTTCCATATTCATAAACGCATTCCTCCCACTTTTGGAAAGAAGTTTTATGTGTATTTCAAAAAGCTATTGAGAAAGTATGAGCATTAGTCCTTGTAGAATTGTAGACTACTTCTTAATTAAACATCTCAAAACTGAAAACATTTCAAATAATTGCAAATGGATTTTTTGTTCCTTTTAGAATACAACTTATATCGAGTTGCAGCTCATGAATTGGGCCATTCCCTTGGACTCTCTCATTCTACTGATATTGGGGCTCTGATGTACCCCAACTATATCTTCAGTGGTGATGTTCAGCTATCTCAGGATGACATCAATGGTATCCAGGCCATATATGGTGAGTTGAGGAGAAACACTAAGGGACCATTAAGCAACCATTAGCTGAACTCTTTAAGAAGCTGTTCTTCACTTTTTTAAATCTTCTTTTAAAATTAACATATCATTGATATACAATCTTATGAAGGTTTCACATGAGCAACATTGTGGTTTCAACATTCACCTATATGATCAAGTCCCTCCCACCCATTCCAATCATTGTCCATCAGCCTAGTAAAATGCTATAGAGTCATTACTTGTCTTCTCTGTGCTATACTGCCTTCCCGTGACCTACCTATATTGTGTGTGCTAATTATAATGCCCCTTAATCCCCTTCTCCCTCCCTCCCCTCCTACCCTCCCTAAACCCTTCCCTTTAGTAACCACTAGGCCCTTCTTGGAGTTTGTGAGTCTGCTATTTTGTTCCTTCAGTTTTTGTTTTGTTGTTATACTCTACAAATGAGTGAAATAATTTGGTACTTGTCTTTCTCTGTCTGGCTTATTTCACTGAGCATAATATCCTCCAGCTCCATCCACGTTGTTGCAACTGGTAGGATTTGTTTTCTTTCTATGGCTGAATAATATTCCATTGTGTATGTGTACCACTTCCTTCCATTCATCTACTGATGGATACTTAGGTTGCTTCCATATCTTGGCTAATGTAAATAGTGCAGTGATAAACATTGGAGTGCATATGTCTTTTTGAATCAGGGATCTTGTTTTCTTTGGGTTAATTCCTAGGAGTGAAATTCCTGGGTCAAATGATATTTCTATTTTTAGTTTTTTGAGGAACCTCCATATTATTTCCACAATGGTTGAATTAATTTACCTTCCTACCAGCAGTCCCCTTTCTCTGCATCCTCGCCAGCATTTGTTGTTCTTATTCTTTTCGATGCTGGCCATCCTAACTGGTGTGAGGTGATATCTCATTGTGGTTTTAATTTGCATTTCCCTGATGATTAGCAGCGATATGGAGCATCTTTTCATGTGCCTGTTGGCTATCTGAATTTCTTCTTTGGAGAAGTGTCTGTTCAGATACTCCACCCATTTTTAAATCTGATTGTTTCTTGGTTGTTGAGGTATGTGAGCTCTTAATTATCAGATAAGTCACTTACAAATACTGTAGGATGCCTTTTTGTTCTGCTGACGGTGTCCTTTGCTGTGCAGAAAAAGCTGTCTTTCACTTTTTATGTAGTTTTCCAATGCCAGGCAGAACTAAGACCAGAACTCTTTTTTCTTTAGGACCTTCCCAAAATCCCATCCAGCCAACCGGCCCCCAAACCCCGCAGACATGTGATAATAAGCTAACCTTTGATGCTGTGACTACAATTCGGGGAGAAGTGATGTTCTTTAAAGACAGGTAAGACATCAGTTCTTCTTTGTGTTTTGTATTTGTAACAATAACAACACTTACTGCTATGGGTACCTATGGGCTACTACAAAGTTGCACACATATTTATCTTACATCTGTTTATATACACAATTATAATAAAATGCAAGAATTGCTTAGATTTGACCATCATATTGAACTTACAAGATTTTTCCCCACATGTATTCTCTCATTTGATTTTTAGAAAAAAATACCATTGAAGTAAAAGTATCAATAAATATAAACCCATTTTATAGATCAGTAAAGTAGGTCAGAGAGAAGGAAAGAGATTCTTTCAGGGCACAGAATTCATTGGTGACAGAACAATGATTGATCTTCTGACCCCTATTCTAGGACTGTTCTATGCTTTATGGTGGTAAGTATGTGAGCACTTTATTAGGAGAAATCAGTCCTTTTCAGAGCATCATCATGCAGATAAGGGTTGTGTCACCATCCTTTAAGTTGTCATCCCTTCCTTCTTGGGAAAAACAGCTCCCCACAAAGCCTGTGACCATGAAAGGTCTCTATTGTCCCCTTGAGCCTAAAGAAGGGTAGGAGCCATTGGAAGGAACATCCCCAAGAGCAGATGAGGAGTCTCCCTTGGGCAGATATGGGCAGGTCACAATGTAGTGCCCTCCTCAGAGGAAGGTCCTAGAACTCCCTCTGTAATATGTGGCCTCAAAAATACTAGAGTCCCCTCACATGCAAGGAACAGGCCTGCTCTCTGTACCATACTGATTCCTAAAGGACCAGGAAAAATAATAACATAGTCTTTATCAGAGTGAAGCAGTCCACAGAAATATTCGTGCTAAGGAAGGGCCAGGGCTCCAGCACACAGAAAGTTGGGGGGCTCGGCCACTATTACTGGTCTTATCGTACCCAGGAGGCTGGGCATTGGCTTCTGATGCTTTTTATCCTCTTCAGTATTTTTGAATGTAAAAACTAGGCTGGATGTAAATCATATAGGGTGGGGCCCAGTGCTGGGAAGTGCTAAGGAGATATGTGATTTTAAAGGACTGCTCTCAGTGTAGCAAGCCACACACCTATCAAAGCAAGTTTTTGGGGAATTACTTTGAGGAACACACAGGATCAAGGTTAGGATTTGTAGATACTGAAAGAAAGCTGGGATCATTTAACTATCACCAAGTCATGAAGACGTGAAGGCAAGAGAAAGTGATTTGCCCAAGGTCTCAGAGCCTGGTAGAGCCAGGACAGGCCCTAGAAGGTAGGCCCCTGGCCACCAAGACCATACTCTTCCCTGCAGCCTAAAATCTGGAAAACTCTTCTGCTGGCCTACATGACGGTTTATGTTCAGCCATTACCCCAATACTGTAGGATCAACTTTCAAACCACCAAAGGAGGACATAAGAAATGGCTGCCAGATCTGAGTTTAAAATTAACTTTTGCCTCTTACCAGCTGTGTGGCCTTAAAACACCTCCTTTCATGTCCCTGACCTCAATTTCTCATCTGTAAGATGACAGTATTATTCTCTTGAAGGGTTTATGTGAAGTAAGTCATGATGCAAGTGAGAGGCCTGTTGGAAGTGCACCAATGCAGGGTATTAGGGCTGAGTTCCAGCCAACAGTGTGTTGCAGGTGGCTCCTAATGGCTTGCCAAAGCCAAATGTCAAATTTTGAGAATTTTGCAAGCTGGTTGTTAAACACAGTCATTATTAAAAGTTAAATTAAATAAACTTAGAATTAAACTAAAACCAAATGTAATTAAGCGAAATTCATCCTTTTGTAATTATTTTGCTACATTTTACTATTTATTTATGTTTTTGAGGTTTATGCATAATGTATTTGTATGGTGGAAATACTATACAGTGGTGTAGTAGAGACTCTGCCCTGGTGGGAGCATTTTCACAGAGGAAATTAGCAAACTCTACAAACCAGAACTCTCTGGCCACCCTCACCCTCCTCATGCCTCCATCTTGGAGACCCAGATGTGAAACATTTACCAGCACATCAGTAATGCCAGCAATAGCTGGGTGTCAGTCAGAGCTTGCTATCAGTTAGATCAAAACCTTTGTTACTATTTTTCAAATCAGGTTCTACATGCGTGCAAATTCCTTCTACCCAGAAGTTGAGCTCAATTTCATTTCTGTTTTCTGGCCCCATCTGCCAAATGGACTTCAGGCTGCTTATGAGGTTGTTGATAGAGACGAAATCAGGTTTTTCAAAGGTAATACTTCCAACTATTTTTCAGTTTCTATGAATTAAGTTTTCTTCTGCTTTTGGGCTAAGATATAAGAATTCTAGCTACTTTCCATTTATTAAACTTTTGAAAATCTAACAGTGTCACCAAATCAATGAAAGTCTATCATCTTAATTAAGAATTGCATATTGAATATCTGAGTCATTTTAAATAAAAAGTCTATGACTGGAGATATAAATTTTCTGCCTGATTATGAACATGGAATTATGGTAATGTTTTCTGTGTAAACCATTTATGTATTTTAAATCCTGGGGGTGCTCGGAAATAAAATTGAGAGCTTTGGGCCAGTATTATAAAAAGAGTGGAACAGAAACATTTGAGTAGTGTGATTTAATTACAGAGCATATTTTACTACCACTGACTCTCCTGAGAGAGGGAGAGGCCCCCATGGGCAGCCAACTGCCTAGTATGGTTTTCAAACCTAGAGTGTTGACATCATTCAAGTAGTTAAGTAATACAGAATCTCACTTAGTGTAATTCTCCCAAGTTGCATTCCTGTTATCAAGTCCCAATATGGACCTTTTTGGATTTTAACAAGAACCCAAGGCAATTTGCAAATCCTGAAGCCCATACTTCAGTATGAGAAGTCCTGAATTACTGCAGATTGAATGGAGAAAACTTCTTGATTCTATCAGAATGAAACATAATCCAATGTTCAGATCCTGACTTTGAAGACATTATACAAACACCAGTATTTCTATGTTTGGCATAGCACAGAAAAACCTTAAGATACTTGACCCAGCCATATACTCAAGGCAAAGAACTGAATGCAGTTCAGATGGACAAATTACCTTTAAGACAGGCATTCTAGTCCTCATGTCATGAAATTAAATAGGATTTTAGATATACAAAATTTCAAATTTCTTTTTCATGATGTAAACTTAAGTTTTGTGCAATTAGAACAATGCTGGCTTCAAGATGTAAGACCAGTTTTGTGTGATGTGGGATTTACCAAGTATAAACATACAAATATGGACACAGCACAACTTCGAGTATTTGGAACTGTATTCTAGTCAGATGTAGTGACATTTACCTGGGGTTATAAATCATTATGGATTACAGCACTCTGGCGTTTAGGGTACTATTGGTACAAACTTTCTCCCATGGGCAACCTGGAGAAGCAAGTTTTACATCACTGTCACAGCATAATGAGCTCTCCAGTCATTTGAATATCTGGATTTGGAAAGAAGGCCTTAACTCCATAAAACAGTCATTCTCAAAGCTTGTCAGGGATTAGAATTATCTAGAAAACTTTTGAAAATGTACTAATTTAATTGATCTGGGGATGATCCTAGCATCAGTATTTTCAAAACTCTCCCTACATGATTCTAAAGCACAGCTAGGACCCTGCTCTCGTGCATGAGGTCAAGAACTGAGCTGGAGATCATTTGACTGTGTACGGGTACCCTTGGGCGAGTATTTTCATCTCAGTTTCTTGATTGGCAGGTAATAAGTACTGGGCTTTTCAGGGGATGGAAATGCTACACGGATACCCCAAGAACATCCACAGATCCTTTGGCTTCCCGATAACTGTGAAGAATATCGACGCTGCTGTTTCTGATGAAAATACTGGGAAAACATACTTCTTCGTTGCTAAAAAGTACTGGAGGTAAAGACAGACTTCAGGAAATGTTAGGGCACCACTTTTTTCCACATAAAGAAAATGTGCTCGATTGTTCCTTTTCAAAATAAGTCTCATCTCGCCTTAAGTAGCTGCCTTTTCTGTGAACGGCTGTAGCCAGTCCAGCATCTAAGGCTATTGATTATCATCAATAATCTTAATGCAAAAACCTGTGCTGGGGATCCAGAGAGAATGGGGAGCTGAAAAAGGAGGGCATTTATCTTCATAGATAAACTCCTTCAGCCAATAGGAGTTTATGTTTCATTGCGATTTACTTTACTAGGACATTATGTGGTACCTACTAGAGAACTAGAATTAGATATTAAGAGTTCAGAGTGACCTTCCAAGTCTTCTAGTCTGCCCAACATCCTACCTCACCTCATCCTAACCCCCATTTTACACATGATCTATTATAGAATTAAAAGTTCTTGTTACATTCCTGCTGGCGAATTCCCCATAATTTTGAGAAGCCTACACACTTAACACATTATGATACTTGTAATTATTTTTCAACCAGGTATGATGAATATAAACAATCCATGGATGCAGGTTATCCCAAAATGATAGCAGATGACTTTCCTGGAATTGGTAACAAAGTTGACGCTGTTTTCCAGAAAGATGGTAAGTGAATATATGTATATGTGTTTCCTCTATTTTGTTGCTATTAGTATTGCTAATAGCATTAGTATTGTTATTTGGACTAGCAAATGCCAAAAATACTTATTCTCACAGATTACTTGGGCTTTGCAAGAATTCAAGTTAAAACTAGAATAATTTGTATAATGTAGTAATTCTCTTTTGTTTTATTTCTAGGATTTTTCTATTTCTTTCTTGGAACAAGACAATATAAATTTGATCCTAAAACCAAGAGAATTTTGAGTCTCCAGAAAGCTAATAGCTGGTTCAAATGCAGTAAAAATTGATCAACTGTTAACAAAGTTGAACAGAAAAATGTATTTCAAGGGCCTAAATAAGAGCCTTATGTGTACATAAAATATATAGTTTCTAAGTATATAATCTTATTTATACCTCATTCTGCATATTTTTAAACATTTAGAATGTAGTGTTTTATGTACTGCTATAAATTAGTTCCATAAATAAGAGCTAAGGAAGGTGAAGTCCATGACTCATGGATTCACATGGGTCAATTTTTGTAAAGAGAGAAGCTCTTTTCCAAAGTATAAGACTGATATTGATCCTGGAGAGCAGCCTCAGTGATGAACACCTCCTCTCAAGAAAGAGGCAAGAGTTATGAACCTTCACCAAGGAAAAGCAGTTCAGAAACACATGAGCAGCTGCTGCTATCATCTTAATATACAAGGGACAATTTTTATTACAGAAAATAAAGTGTTTTACATATTTGGGATAAAACATCTTTGTCTCTGTCATTTTATAAAGTGTATTATATTTGTTATTATATTGTTCTTTTCTGATTATAAAGCCACACATCAAGATTTTGAAGTTTGAAATTGGAAGCAGACAAATTTGCAAACTTTCACAGGGATTTAGGAATACAAGAAGCTCAGATATTCCCCATTTTTGTGGAATTTACATCACATAGAAGGAGAAAGTCTATTTCTTATATCCTGTATAAGGATTCCAAAACTGGCTGTAGGTAAAAGCAATGACAACATGGTAGGGCTTTGGAAGAGCATAGCCCTCTCTCTCCTCATGAGCACATGGGAAGGTTATGTTGCTCCAAAGTCCAACTCCCTACAGTTATATGGAGACATGTGCAGCAGCATATGATGAGTTCGAGCCACTGGATTGTGCCTACAAGTGACCAATATCATCTCCACTTGGAAACGTTTGATTTCTGGTAAAAATTCCCAGTGGTCTCCCCAGTTCTGCTGCAGAAACACATCTTTAGAGTTTCCACAAGGTGGAAGAAACCTGAATTGATGGACCACTATTCCAGTTACCCCAACTTCAGTAGGTTTTGCTTAAGAAGTAAACTTGTATTATACTAAGCCACTAAGATTTTAGGTTTTGTTAAAGCTGCATAACCTAGTTTTTCCAGATGAGCGTTATCTAATTGATCATGCCTAATTTGGGAGGATGTTAATGTAGGTTGGAGTCCTGTAAGTAGTTTCTAAGGCCCATGAGTATCATCAGGAGCTAACAGGATACTCAGGGTATTTGCAGACTTCCCAAGTACAGACAGAGTTTTGAGAATATTTTGAGATATTCATGATTCTGACACAGGCAATGATAAATTTTATGACCCGAGTTTAAATGCTAAGAAAGATGACAACATCTGTTGACTCAAAGGAGACACTGGTGTCATGGGTAAGTGGCCCCCTTTGTGCATCCAGTGATAGCAGCTGCACAGCAGGCTTACTGGCCTCAGGGAGCCAAACCTTCAAAGCCCTTGCTGACCGTTCACTGTGGCCCCTGTAGGGTACAGGCCACATGGACAAGTAGAAGGAGGGAAGGTTGGGAGCCTGGACACCTGCCATGCATACCAGGAAGTAATCCATCCCCAGAACCAGCGTGCACCTGGAAGCAGCCTTTCTTGAGCCCCAGCTGGGTGTGGGGCGGGGTCTGCCCTCAGAGTTGCCATCCCCCTGCCTTTCCTGGGCTCTCACTTCCTTGAGAGACAAGGACCCAAATCCAAGTGTCTGCTGGAGGGGAGCAGAGGCAGCCCCAGTTCTCCTGAGTCTCTGCAGGAAAAGAGTAACATAGTTTGAAAGGTCATAGCTAGTCTGACAACCAAGTCAGGGCCAAAGCTGGTCCACATGGAAAAGAACCATCTGTAGGGAACAGCCCTGACCAGTGGTCACAGATTAGGATGTAAACGGTGCTCAGCGGTGAGACGATGCCGCAGCTACTAGTTAAGGAGCCTCAAGTGTCCTGAGTGTCACCTCCCACGTTCCCGCAAAATAACAGAAATACCAGGAAGTAATCCATCCCCGGAGGCTGATGTCTGT